TCAATTAAAAACACTGATCATTTATTGAACAGGATGGAATCATTTCATATCTAAAGTACTTTCAGAAGTTTGAATTCAGAATATGAGCGAACTTTTCCCTTAAAAGATTATTTGTAAAAGTAATGCTTTTACTAGGATTGTAAATTATTTTAATATCCAAATGTTTCAGAAACTGCCAATAGGGAGCAGGTCGCCCAGCTGCAGGTTTTAAACAAAGGTCAACAGAGGCAAATAGAGGACTTGGAGCGGAAACTGGAGGATTCACGCCGTAATATGAGATACATCGAGCATCAGTTTGCAATCGTCAAAGGTTTGTTTCACAACTTTTATCTTCTCCACCATGATGGAGAACCTTGTGCCTCTAAATCATTTCACAGTTTAGCCTTTGCCATCCCTTATAGCCTGGTGTCATTATTTATAACAAATGGTTGACAGATGAAAAAGATGGCCTTGCTGTCAGTTTGAAGGAGTCCAGTCGACTGATAGAAGAGGCGAAGAAAGGAGAGGTTCAAATGCAAAACAAGCTGAAGGTGTTGGAGCAGCAGGTACAGATCCTCAGGGAGAAAGACCAGGAGGTAAATCAGCCTTCCATCTTATCTACTGTTTTAAGCTGAACTCATTTGATAATGTGTTAACAACCACTTAACTGTGCTCATATCTAATGCTACATTCAGACCGCAAGCGGCAGAGGCAGCAGAAGCAGCTGGTTTACATGCAAAGTCAATTGTTGACACGCATCAAGGCGCAGCAAAAGGTCCTGCAGCGCTTTTCGTGCGGCTGAAGCGGCAACACATTAGCTTCAGAAGCAGCAGCTGAAGTTTAAAAAATTTAACTTTAGCTGCTGGAAGCGCTACGTCAACCAATCAGAGAAGCTGATCTGGGAGCTGGCAGGGAGTCAGACACAGCGCTGATGCAGAGCGCTATGATCACTCCTCTGAAACAGTTTATTAACGCCTAAATTAACTTCAAATGTAGAAATCTGCCGGCAAAACATGTTCACTTTTATTATCCTGCTGCCCGCAGTTTGGATTACGTCCGTGATCCAAAATGCCTTCCAGCTGCAGCGAACAGTAGCGGAAATATTGATAAATATAAATAATATTTGAAGGCAGGATGGTAATCTTGATGAACTGACTGCTTGGGGTGTGGAAAATAAATCGATTTTGCAATACATATCGTGATTTCCAGCTGCTTATATAATATCGATCTTTCAGTTCCTAATATATCGATATTAGAAAAACAAAACATTTTTTTCCATATGTTTTTTATTGGGTTAGAAGTGTACAATACATTCATTTACATGAACCTCCCTACATTCCCATGAATACAGTGAAAAATGTTAACAATAAGCAAACGTGATTCTCTCCCTCATAACGAGAAAACAGGAGGGGAGAACAGTTACCGACAAGCAAATAGAAAATAAATTATAATAAACAAACAGAATTTAGAGGAGGCATCATAAATGCTTAGAAAACAAAATAAAAAAATATAACTATATTATTTATTGCATGTTGTGCTTTAGGTTGGACCACCAATTCCCTAATCCAACCACTGGCTTGTCTTAAAATCCTGGCTGGTGTTTCAACAGATCAAACCACTGGAAAATCAGGAGTGATTCAATTAGAGAATTAGAGAGGGGTTATGTCCGTGTATCTTAATTAAAGCCAGACTTTTTAATCATCTAAGGAGGAAGTTGAGTCAACCAAGGAAAGAATGGGATTCCAAGTTTTATAAAATTTGTTGACACATCCCCTAATGCTGTACTTCATTTTTTCTAAGTGTAGGAGTGACATTAGATCCTTCGGCCAAGAGTCAGTGGAGGGAGGATTCTTTAGCCTGGGTGCCATTCCGAACTTAGTCCCGCCCACAA